AAAACCGGTGTTGATTGGTCGTGTGAATAAAAGTAGGGTTGTGCTCCGTCAGTTCTCCCACTCAAGCATCAAAGGCTTGTAATTTGCAAAAGTCAATGCAGCAGTTTATGCCTTTGTTCCTTTTCAAGCCTTTGACTAGTGGTAGGTTAAGAACAGAAGTGGTTTGTTCAGCTGAAACTTCATGAAGAAATTTCCCTCAGCCATTTTCACATCCCAAGGTCAAAATTCTTGCGTAATGCATTGCTTGTCATGCGCATTGTTCTTTTGCACTTGCTTATCGAAAGGCGCAGCCATTGGCTGTCGCCCACCCCCTGTTGCAATTGCAGGACGGTGATACATTCAAGCAGATTGGCAATGCTTTCCAAGTCAAGGGAGAGTTGGCGAACGCAGTGACCTTAGCTTTGCTGTGCCCTTCTTGCTGGTTCGTCCCCATGCTTTCGTCGCATGCTTCGTTCAAGTCGTCATCACGTTGCTATACAAAGCCCTTGGCTCAGTTTGATTCATTTCAAAGGTGGATGACCTTAAGAAAGTCCAGAGCTCAGAGCTTGTTGTTGTTCAATCAAACTTGATGCTGTGCCTTGGTGAACGTTGAATGAAGAAGACAAACAAAGCAGGCAGCGATGAAAGCCAGAACATGTTTTGTTCAACGCGTGTGCAAGTGCATGGTGGTTATTGTCGTTTTGCCGTGAGGCAATTAAGGCAGAGAAGCCGAACAAAGTGAAGTGTGACGCAGATGAAATTGATATTTTTAGCCAACAGGACGAGCCGCTGTTTATGCCACCAACTCGTTTGCTAGTTGTATTTCAATTTCTCAGCTTTTGTTCACTCGGCTCAGCGCTTTGCGTTGCAATGTCTTTGCTACCTTTTCACTTTTCACTCTTTTGTCAATCGCTGGTCAGGTGAATTTGTCCAATTGTTTTCTTTCACAACACCTCACCCAACCCCTTGCACACCACCGTCTCAACTTGCCTTTGCAGCATTGTGGTTTGCCAGTTTGCTCATCGCGGATTTGCAGGATGGAAGTTGGATTAGAGAAGAAAAGATGTCGGCAAGCCTTCGCGACACGGATGAGCCCATCACTTGGTGTTTTGTTTTGAGCAGCTTTTAACCATGCAGGGCTTCAAACTGATGTCAATGTTACAACCTTCTGATGTATTTTTGTTTTTTTGCCGCCTCTGAGTTGCGCTTGTTTCGAGAAACAGCTGTTTTGACCACACTTCAAGTTTGTGTTTTTCCCTCCAGTTTTAAGGACAGATTGCTATGGCTTCACATTGCCATCAGCGTGAGTGCTTTTCTCAGCAGCGTTACGCCTAGCGTTCCACTTGTCTTGCCCTTCTGTGGCTGAGGTGAAGCCAATTGAGAGCAAGGGTTCCCAATAGTTTCACCGAATTCCATCTTTGGAGTAAATGTAGAGTGGATGTCGCTGTGGCATGACCGTGCATCACTCACAAGATATGAGACTTGACACTGCGTTGACACTCTTGTCCAGCAGGTTGTGCACACAGCGGGTGAAGAAACAGTGAACCAAGAAGCTGTTCAAGATACGTTTCACTCGGGCAATGTATACGCCCAAGCACAGCCACGAATCCAACCATGCATGGTGAGAAAAGGTAAGTGCTTGATTTTGAACCGGCTTTCCTGAGAGAAACTTGAAAAGAAAA